CCTTGACTCTAGCCACCTAGGTCTTCCCACCCCCACCAGACCTCACTTCTCCTCTACCTCATTCTGGTCACTCCTCTGCTCCCCCATCTAGACACCCCCTCACCGCTGTCAAGAATCCCTATGATCTTTCCCTCCCTGCTGCCCAATCTTGGTTGCCATGGGCTTCCCACATCCCACCCCAGGTCGGAAGTTCCTGATCGCCAATGCTCAGATGGAGAACTGTGCCATCATTTACTGCAACGACGGCTTCTGTGAACTCTTTGGCTACTCCCGAGTGGAGGTGATGCAGCGACCGTGCACCTGTGACTTCCTCACAGGCCCCAATACCCCACGCAGTGCCATGTCCCGTCTAGCGCAGGCCCTACTGGGGACAGAGGAGTGCAAGGTGGACATCCTCTACTACCGCAAAGATGGTGAGGCTCCCTTGGGCCATGGGTTCTGCAAGGCAGACTCTGTCCTTCTCTTGTTCAGCCAGAGTGGCCAACTGGGAGGCCACTGACCCAGGGACCAAAGGGCTGGGACAAATCCTGTCTCCTCTCTGTTCCTCAGTTTCCTCATCTGCAGGAGGAAGCAATGGGCATTGATTTCAGTGCCTTCTGAGGTCCTTTTCAGAAGCTGGAGACCAGGCTGACTCACTGACTGGTCCTCACCCCAGGCAGGGCCTCCCGCTCCACCATCCCTCCCCCATGTCCCCAGTCTCCTGGCCGCCCACTCTGTCACTGTCAGCCCCAGCTGTCAGGCAGCTGGAACGAAAATTAACCTTTCCTCATCTCCGTCTGCTCTGGGGATTAGGGGAGGAGTCACCCCCTCAAGGCCTCTGTGGGCAGTCAAGGCTTGGGTGCTGCTGACTGGGAAACAGTAGACCCGGCTCACTCAGCCCCAGATCCTTAGAGAGATAGGTCCTGCAGTTTGTCCTGACCCAGAGGTTCATCCAGTTTGGGATGTCACTGCCAGCCCATGTTTATCACAAGCAGAACAGAACCATGGGGCAGGGGCTGAGAACAGAGCTCTGCAGCCCTTTAAGACCTTCCCCCTAGGACCTCAGAGACAGTGGGCAGGAAGGAAGGGAGAGATGAGTGGGAACTAAGATCCTGAAATTCCCTTGGAAATCACTTGGATTAATGCCCCCCTCAACCTGGTTCTGCATTAGAATTACCTGGGGCATGTTTTCCAAAACACACCTTCCCTAGAGAGAGGCTGACTCAGAGGTGTGAGTTGAGGCCAAAGCAGGTGCATTTGGAAAAATCTCCTGGGCGGTTCTGATGTTCTGACAAATTTAGGAACCACTGGCTTAGATAAATCCCTTCATTTCATGGATGAAGAAACCAAGGCCCAAGAAAAAAGGAGGGAGTTGCCCAAGATCCTACTGCTGGGATCCAACCTGGGGCCAGAACCCAAGTCTGGATTTTTTTTTTACTCGAGATATTTGTTCTCTGTAATACCGAGAGGGGAAAAAGGACCCCAACTGCCTCTACTCCAACCGCAGAACATCTGGAAAAGGCAGGCATGAGGGCCATCTGAGTATAGACAAAGGGCATGTTCCTTTGGATTGGGACTGAAGGGTACTGAGAGCCTGGGTTCCAAGGTCCTGGGGTGTGTATGGAGCATGAATGTAAGTGTGAACATGAGTGCGCATGCGAGTGTGTGTGTGTGTGTGTGTGTGTGTTTGCATTTAAGGGCTTCCAGGGTGCTTCATGGGCAGATCCTGGCTGTCCCCCTAGCTGTCTACTGCTGCTACCAACCAAACAGATGCAGGGGTAGTGATTAGGGGACTAGGAAGAATCTGGCTAACTTTGGTAACACTCACAGGGTTAATGAAGTCAGAATATTTTTAAAAGCTGTGACCTCACCTCCTCACATCATTTCAGGGAGGAGGTGACAGTCAGGGGAGTGAGAAGGGTCCTCAGGGAACAGGACGGGACCGCAGGAAATGGGGGGAGGGGGAGAGACAACAGTTCCTTGTCTTTGACCCCAGAGCTTTACCTGGGCCCTAGAGTGGTATATAGGCTCTTCTCAGATTCCCGGGGACATCAGATCAGGTCTCTTAGGGTCTCTACAGCACACTGCGTGTTCCTGGGCAGGGGGAAAAGATCAAGACCAAGTATCAGCCCTCTGAGATCAGGACTCAGGTTTTCAGAACACTGCTGGCATCCTCCAGCTATCAGAAGAGACCCCAGGACCCAGTCTTGGAGGCTGGCCCTCAGTGAAAATGGAACATTACCACATACCTGATGCCCCCAGTCTACCCCACCCAACCCTAAGCCCTTCTCTGTCCTGTTACCCAAGCCTTTGGCTATGTGGACTTGCCCGAGATTGGCCTGAAACCCAGAAAAAAAGAGCTTCTTGGCCTGCATTACCCTAAGGAAACGATGTGGTACCCAGATAACTTATGTTCACCTTATGGTCCAATCTGACCACATGATTCTTTTTTATCATATTCACATATATCCTTTAGTCCTGCTGACTGGCATCCTAATGGTGATTTCTTCCCTACTCAAGTCAATATCTCTTCCTACTCCCTCCCCCTGACTCCAGCGAGGTGGAAAAGGGTCCTGAACAGAACTCTAGCTGGTTTATTTATAATCCTCTTTTCCTCTAAAAGGGTAATCCACTGACAGTTCTCCAAGTCAAAATGAAAGGTCTGTGTCCATTTATCTCCACATTATACAGCTGCACAAAATTGGACTCAAAGAAGCCAGGGCACTTGGCAAAATTATCGCATGAGATAGGGCTCAGAGACCCCTGAGAACCTGGATCTTCCTCCATCTGCCTTTACTAGGAAAAGTAAGAGCCTGACAGATAAGGAGGAATGGGGATGGTCACAAGACTGGAACTAATGAGAGTCTGGAGGGATGGATGGAGAGCACTACATTTCTCCCACCTCTACCCCTGTCCCCACTGGGCACTTACCAGAGGAGCCCAGCCCTGCCTGCCTTGTCAGGTCCTCTTCCCCACACCAGAGAGTTTCCTAATCTCCAAGCCACACTAGAGGATGCCTGGGGCTCCTCCAATCCTCAGCTCTCAATGAGGAGGAGAGGGCAAGGGCTTAGGTTAGAGGCCTCCAATGTTTTCCACATACTTACCCATGAATACCAGAAGCACCAAGCAGGAGGCTGCCCTCACCAGCCACCCTCTTAGTGGCAGCATTCTGTAGCACCAGCTCCTCCTTGAAGGCTCACTGCAACCCTGGGTGGTGTGGGCATAAAGAGATGGGGGTGATAGACAGCAAGGAGACTGTGCAGAACAGGGGCAAGGGCTGGGAGGGGGAGGGGGTTGGAACAATGAGAAACTGAAGGAAGGAGCAATCCAAAAGGCAGAGAAGAGCAGAGAGAAGGACTATGAACCAGGGGGCAGACAAATCTGCTGCACTTGGTCAGAGAAGAGGTGGGCACTGGGAGGAGCCCTCGGAAGGGAGAACAAGGCAGAGACTGTGGCTCCTCCTCCAGCAATGGGACAAGAGCACAGGGACACTGCCATTCCTGGGCACAACTGGGGTGACACACTCACCCACTTCTGGTCGCCCAGACACAGTTACTTGTGAGCAAGGACAGCCTAGGGATGGGGGGAAAGGATGCTCTGAACTTGCCAAATCCTCACAGCCTCCTGTCTCTGCCCACCCTACAGGCAGCAAGATTGAAGGCTGGGCATGGGGTGCCACGCACAGCTCCCATGTAGCCCTCACTGCTATGATGGGTCTTTGGTCTGTTCCCAGCCTCAGTTTTCCAAAGATAGCATCAGTGGGTCAGTGCAGCCACTTGAAGATGGGGCCTTCACAGCCCCCAGCAGCATAGAGAGCCTGGAGGCCTTGATCCTCTGCCCAGTGCTGCCTTCTCTCTGCCCTCTGCAAGGCAAAATCTCTGTAGTGCCAGAGAGTGAAGAGACAATCTGGCCTTGGGGGGAGTGTCTCAGACCACCAGCCAAGGAGACTTCCTGGCTAGGTCCCTGTGTCCAAGCCCCTCCATGTCCCCGGCTGACAAGAGTACCCAGTTCTGGTCTGGGCCGCAGAGCCTAGAGCACTGTGAGCCCAGGAGTGGTCACAGAGGCAGGTGGGTGGCCTCTCCTCGGTGTGGATGTCTCCCCCGGGGCCCAGTGCAGCAGCTGGCAGATGGCTGCTTGGTGCCTGGGAGTCCGGGAATCTGATCCAGGAGATTCCTGCTCCCCGAGAGGAAGGTGGGAGGGAGGATGAAGGCAGCTCGGCTGCACTGATAGTAGAGGAGGCGCTTTGGGGGATGAGCGATTCTAACGGACCCCAAGTAGCAATGTTCCTGCCAACCGGCCTCCCACCCACTCACATTTATACATTCTTTTATTCACTCACTCAACAAACAACACCTGGGACAGGTGCTGACCCCTCAAAAATGAGACAGATGCAAACCTGCCCTTGAAGGGATGGCAGCTCCGCCTTCTGATTTGCATATTTACTTGAGGCCCCTGCCCCTTAGTATTTTGCCCTTTGGGCCTGATACCCACCAACAGTTTGAGCTCAGGGACGTGGGACCACTGGGTACCATGGAGAGGGGGCTTATGGGACATCCACCTACCCACTCAGCCCATAGGCTGGGCTCTGGGGGTGTGTGGCTGACTTAGCTTTGATTTGTCCCACCCACCTATGTGGATGGGAGACCCCAAAGCTAAGAAAGAGGAACAGTGGTCAATGGCTAGGTCTAAGCTGCCCAAGAGGGCGGGAGAGTGGGTCCTGGCCTGCCCCCACCCTGCCATCTCTCTCCCTCTCCAGACCCCAGGTCACTGCCCTGCCTGCTCCCCAGTCCCAGCATCTCTGCCTAGGGACCCCGAGTGCCTTTGAGTCCTGGGGCAGCAGCCTGGCCTTCACTCCAGTGTCCTCATCCTGGACCAGTCCCTTCCCTTGCCCCAGCTGTTGTGTGCTGAGAGCTGTTGTGTGCTTGGAACCCCACTCCATGTCCCCTTCCAGCACCAGCCAGTCAGTTTCTCAGAACCCCAGGCTCTGCAGAATGGGGGTCTATATCTGCCCCCTGAGGACCCTCTAGCCACCACTATGGATCTTGAGGCCTAAAGTGCCAACTGACTCAGGACACAGCACTTAGTGTGTTCTCAACAGCGAGTTCCTTCCAGCAAGGGGCGTGGGTGGCATCTTTGTGGGACAGGAATATGGGAGCTGAACCCAGGGTCGGCCAGAGCTACGTGGGGGTAGAATGCCCGACCTCACCTCCCCACTTAATCCACCCCATCTGCTCAGCTTTAATTACAACAGAAGCAAACCTCAAGGTTAAGCCCTGAGCTGAGGGCTGAGTGTGGACTTGGGCCTGATGCTACATTATCTCCTAATGAGCAGCTAAGCTGCTCTCCCCACCTCTGGCCTGGGGGTAGGACACCTGCTAGACAGCATCACCAACCCTCTGCCCAATAGTCCAGGCCTCCTCACCCCGTGGCTGCCCTTGACCTCAACCCAGCCCCCTCCCTGGCTTCCCCTGGCCAGGTTACTGCCGGAGAAGATCCTTTCTGTGACCCCTCCCGTTGGTGTTTACAGCCTCCAGCTTCCGATGCCTGGTGGATGTGGTACCTGTGAAGAACGAGGATGGAGCCGTTATCATGTTCATCCTCAACTTCGAGGATCTGGCCCAGCTCCTGGCCAAGAGCGAGCGCCGCAGCCTGTCCCAGTGCCTGCTGTCCCAGAGCTTCCTGGGCTCCGGTAAGGTGGGGTGCAGGTAGTGGTGGGAGGGGTGAATGGGGGCCCCCAGTGGGGCAGCTGGTCCCCTGGCCTGGGCTGCTCTGACCCTGGGCCTGGTTTCAGAGGGCTCTCATGGCAGGCCAGGTGCACAGGGTCCTGGCACAGGCAGGGTCAAGTACAGGACCATCAGCCAGATCCCGCAGTTCACACTCAACTTCGTGGAGTTCAACCTGGAGAAGCACCGCTCGGGCTCCACGACAGAGATTGAGATCATCGCACCACACAAGGTGGTGGAGCGGACCCAGAACGTCACCGAGAAGGTCACCCAGGTGCGGGCCACAGGGCAGGGTGGGCGGGGCTGTGCTGGGCCTTGAAGGTCCCTTCTCAGGCTTGGGGTCTGGGCTCCTCTGGGGCTGGCAGTGGCAGAGGCAGTCAGCTTGGCCAGTCCCCAGTGGTCTGGTCTGAGCCCCAGGCCTCCTGTCCTGCTGGGGTCTGATTTCTTAGACCTAAAGGCCTACCCTGAGGCCACCATCCAGGTAGTGGAGCATGAGGAGGTCAGAGTCAGCAGGGCCTGTGAATAGTGCCACATCTTAGGTCTGGAGGAGCCTGGGATGGGGGAATACACAGGCCACCATGGGGGCCTGTCCAAGGCTCTGCCAGTCACAGAGAAGGAGAAGTGGAGAGAAGTGTCAGCGCCACTCTGAGAGGGAAAGAGGAGGAAGGATGGAGGGAGGCCCCAGCCCTACTCCTGCCCCTGTTCCCCCACCTCCCAACACAGAGCAGGAGCCTCCTACAATCCAAGCAGAGGGGAGATGGCCCTGGAATCTTTAGCTCTCTTTGAGCAGCTTCCTGGAGATCAGGCCCTGAATGCCTCCCTCCCCTTCAGCCCCTCCTTGGCCAGCCCAAGGCAAACCTCCCTGGGTTCTCTGTTTCAGCTGACCCCCATGTCCCTTTACATGGGGCCTGAGGCTCCAATCCCCACCTAACCATCCTAGAGGGAAATGCAAAAGCCCTGCCTGAGGTTCAGATGACCAGAGTCCTGACACTGACTTGCTGTGTGACCTTGGACAAGGGACCTTGTGCCCTTTCTGGGTCCCAGAGCTCTCATGTGCAGAGAATTGGACCTTTTGACATTCTTTTGACATTGAGTAGTACGGTCCCCAGGAGGCATCAAGAGGGGCTAGGCCAGGGCTGAGCAAGGAAGTGTAGGTCATGGGGGGCAGGGAGGGCCTGCACCCAAATTTCTGGGAGGCTTTGGCTTCACGAGGGATGGGGGCAGTTCTTTTTCCTCCCTGCCCCCTTTTGCCTGAATCACAGCCTGTGAGGGAGCAGGTGGGATGGAAACTCCCTGTGACCCAGCCCCTCCCCACACTCAGAACCCTGGAGAAGGAAGTACCACAAGCTGCAGGGCCAGGCCCACAGAGGTCAGGCAGGGTGGCCCAGTGGCCCAACCATGAGGGACTCCACCTGGCCACTCACCTCAGGGCTCTCAAGTTGGCACAGGGGTTATGGGGGCTAGTAGACTGGAGAGCCGCCCATGAAGACTGACAGGCCTGGCTGGGGACTGTGGTCCCTGCCCCACCCAACCCACTGCTCCTATCCTGCCCCCCCCACCCCGCCCCAACTAGTCTTGGCTTTACTCACTCCCCTATATGGGCCCTAAGGTGGGAGAGGCGTCTGACAGAGCTCAGGGGAGGGAGCTGGCAGGGACCCAGAGCAGAAGAGTCACTCTGGCCTCAACCAGGGCTCAGAGGGCTGGGACCTCATACCTGAGTTCCTACATCCTGAGGACCCTGCAGCTCTGGGCAACACTGGGAACTGTCCTCATGCTGGCTTCAGAGGCAGTGGGGAAGTATGGAGTCTGTGTGATGGGGAGATGACACCTCTGTCTGGGGGCCTAAGGGAGTGGACATACTCTTGTCACCCACCCCCGACCTTCTGAATCTGTGCTGCCTTGGGACAAGCCCTATGCTTTGCTGTTCCGTCTTGGTGTGGTCTTGAGCAGCCAGGGAAGGAGAGGAGTGGCTTAACGACCCAAGCTCTCAATGCACATTCAGCTCAGTTGGCTGAGGTCATTCCCTTCAGCTGAGCCTCCATGTGGACTAAGTGGAGCATATAAGATGGCCTATTGTTCAGTGGAGAATAGCTGTGTGTTCAGGGGTGTTTACAGGGGACAAAGGGAAAAATCAAGAAAGAAGGTGAGAGGAGGCTTCCTGAGAGGCAGAATAGGAGCTCAGGCCTGAAGGCGGAGCAGAGGGTCACTGTAGGGTGGGGACACTGTGACCCCTTCTTGGGATTTAGATGGCTAATCAGGAACCCACAAGGTGAAAACAGCCCTTTGATGGATCTTCCTTATGGTGACATCATCTGTTAATTGGTCTCGTTTGCAAGGTGAGAACCTTATATTGCAGATTTTCTCAAGCCAGAGCCATCTGCCAGTGCCTATCCGGCGGTGGTGGAGGGGTCAGTGGGACACCCCTCAGGTTCCATCCTTGTTGGGGCAATGCCTGACACAGGATGAGCAGGGAGGAAGAATCCTCATAGATCAGCACGTGCCTTGGAGATGTGCCATCTCATTTAATCACGATGCTAAGGAGTTGGTTGTCCTTTGCTATCCATTTTGCTGATGAGGGAACTAAGGCACATAGAGGCCATAAAATTTGCCCTGAGACTTAGAGCAATGTCAGACCTGAGATCAACCTGGGAGGCCTGGCTTCAAAACGCATGCCCTTCTTGATGCCCCAGCTGTTTCTTGTGATGGGTAGCTGGGTAGAGCTTGGGTCTGTTGGGCTGGGCCTGGTGACCCTACGTTGACCGTAAGCTCCGAGACAGGGTTGGGAGGGGCAGAGCAGAGGGGGCTCAGCTGAAAGTAATGATCAAAACCCTCTTGGGGGAGGCTGGGTGGCTCTGTTGCTTGAGTGTCCAACTCTTGATTTCTGCTTGGGTCATGGTCCCAGGGTTGTGGGGTCAAGCCCAGCGTTGAGCATGGAGTTTGCTTGGGATTCTCTCTCTCTTTGCCCTTCTCCTCTGCTCATGCTCTCTCTCTCTCTCTCTCTCTCTCTCTCTCTCAAGCTCTCACTCTCTCTCTCTCTCATACAAACCCCCCTTGGACATGCGCAAAATAGTCGGACCTCCCTGGTGCCCAGGAACTGTCAAAGGCTCAGATTAGCTACACGCCCCCAAGTTTGACTCTTTCCATGAAGGCCTTGCAAGTCGGCCCCAAGGAGGGCCCTCACTGGTCTAGGCTCCACAAGGTCTTCAGGAATGAAGAGGCTATTCTGGGAGTGACTTGTTCCCATCAGGAATCTTGGCCACTGGGAACCTCCCAAACCCACCAAAGAGGATCGGACCCCCAGCTACCCCCTCAATTTAGGCTCTTCTCTGGAACATGACCACAAATGACCCTGAGCCTAAATCCCCCTCCCTCCCCTCACCCCTCCCCTAGCCCTGTCTCCACTCGAGGATGGCTGTTTGTGAGGGAATTGGTGAGCTTTGAACCTGGGGTCACTATGCAATAGAGCTGCACCCCTCCTCTTGTAGCCCACTTCCTCCCAATACACCTGTCCCCTTATGAGTTTGCCTCATACACACTCTATCCCATCTTTGCTTCATCCCCTCTGTCCTCCACAGCCCTCTTCACCTACCCTCTCCTACAGCCTCCTTCCCAGGCCTCACCCCTAAGTCTTCATCCCTCCCAGGCCTGTCTCACTAGCAGTGGACACCCTGCTGACTGCCCTATGGCCCCCACCCCCAGGTTCTGTCCCTGGGCGCGGACGTGCTGCCGGAGTACAAGCTGCAGGCACCACGCATCCACCGCGGGACCCTCCTGCACTATAGCCCCTTCAAGGCCGTGTGGGACTGGCTCATCCTGCTGCTGGTCATCTACACAGCCATCTTCACGCCCTACTCGGCCGCTTTCCTGCTCAGCGACCAGGATGAATCTCAACGCATGGACTGCGGCTACACCTGCAGTCCACTCACTGTGGTGGACCTCATCGTAGACATCATGTTCGTTGTGGACATTGTCATCAACTTCCGCACCACCTACGTCAACACCAATGACGAGGTGGTCAGTCACCCTCGCCGCATTGCCATCCACTACTTCAAGGGCTGGTTCCTCATTGACATGGTGGCTGCCATCCCATTTGACCTTCTCATCTTCCGCACCGGCTCTGATGAGGTGAGCAAACCCCATTCAGGCCATCTGCTGTGGCCGTCCCCTGTGCCCCAGCCCTCGGGCCTCCCAGCCCCATAGCCCTGGCATGAGAGTATCTGGTAAGGGGTGCCTTTGCCAAAGCAGGTGGAGGTGGGAAGGCGGCCTAGGACATGTGTCATCTCCCAGCCCTGGAGAATGATCAGCCAAGGCTGTGCCCTAGGCCTGGATGCCCTCCCTATGCTCCAGAATTCTGCCCCTTCTGGGATGGGCAGCCACCCCACATGCCCTCATGCTGGCTTCTACTTACCCTGGAGTTGGAAAGGGAAGCTATGGGCTGCTCCCACAAGGCAGCCTGACCCCCCTCTCACCCCCTGACCCTCCACTATGCCCACTGGCTCCCCATAGCTGACATGAAGGTATTTGCAGGCTCTTATTTGCAGGCTCTTCTCATAGCTTCTAGTCCCCCCTTTTGCCCCACCTCCTTGGAATGAACTTTTCATTCTGTTCCAGTCACCCCCCACCAACAGCCTGTCCAGCTGGAGTAGAGGTATCCATCATGACTCCCTGCTCCCACACCCACCCTTTGCCAGCCTCACCTGCCAGCCTCACCCTTCCACACAGAAGCCAGGACCAGTTCAAGATCACTCATCTGACACTGTCTGCAGAACATTCCGTGGCTCCCCGATGGCTTGGAATAAAACTAAGCTCATTTGGGATCTTGAGGCCCGTGGGAGCAGCCCGTGCACAGCTTCCAGGCTCATTCCTCATCACTCCACCATCTTCTGCTATGCACTCCAGGCAGCAGCACTGCACTTGGTTTTCCATGTGGGCTGTGCCATTTCACACCCCCATGCCTTGCTTGGCTCATTCTGTTCTCTGTGCCTAGAATGCCTTTCACTCTCCCTCCTGTCCACCTGCAGACTCAGCCTCATCACTCAAGATTTAGCTCATGTGTCACCTCCTCTATGAAGTCTCCCCTACCCTGCACCTGCAGAATTGATCTCCCTTTTCTCTTCACTCCCCTGGACTTCTGTCCTAGCAACTATAACACTGTTTTGAGCTTTAGGCTGAATGCTCCTTAAGGTCCTGCACTGTGCTTCACCGGCCAAGAGCCCAGAGCAGGTTCTCCATAAGTGTTTGTTGAATGACTGTGTGACCATATGCCCAAGTAAACAAGTGTGGTCCTAAGTGCAGCCTTTCAAGGGCTGACCCTTGGCCCCATGGCCCCCTTCCTGCCCCGCCAGACCACAACCCTGATCGGGCTGCTGAAAACGGCGAGGTTGCTGCGGCTGGTGCGTGTGGCACGGAAGCTGGACCGCTACTCTGAGTATGGAGCGGCCGTGCTTTTCCTGCTCATGTGCACCTTCGCACTCATTGCACACTGGCTCGCCTGCATCTGGTATGCCATCGGCAACGTGGAGCGGCCCTACCTGGAGCCCAAGATCGGCTGGCTGGACAGCCTGGGCGCCCAGCTTGGCAAGCGCTACAACGGCAGCGACCCGGCCTCTGGCCCCTCAGTGCAGGACAAGTATGTCACCGCCCTGTACTTCACCTTCAGCAGCCTTACCAGCGTGGGCTTCGGCAATGTCTCCCCCAACACCAACTCTGAGAAGGTCTTCTCTATCTGCGTCATGCTCATCGGCTGTGAGTGGCCCCTCATGCCTGGGCCTGACCCATGGCATTCAAATTTCAGTTTTGTAATGAGCCATAATACAGTAACATTGGGTGCAATGGGCAAATACCAAGCACAGAGCACAGTGAAATTTTGCATAGGTGCCCCTACCATGCATGAAACTTAACACCCTTACAAGCCCTTGCTATGTGCCAGGGACCAGAACCAGCTTACATGATTTGCAGGGCCCAGAACAAAATGAAAATGTAGGGCCGTTTATTTAAAAAGTCTGAAAGATTTCAAGAATGGTGACAGCAGAGCATGGAACCGAGCAGGGCCCTTCTTAGCACAGGTCACACACCGGGAAGCCAACTGCCCTGTCAGGCACTTTTCTAAGTGCCTATCAAAGGTGCACATTTTGTTTTCATCACTACCCTATGGGGGCTATATTACAAGCCCAGTTTACAGACCAAGAACCTGAAGGTCCTAATTTTCCAGGGGTTACACAGAGACCCAATTTCATCCCAGGGGGCCAGCTCCTCTGGCTGTGTATGTTCCCAGGCTCTGCACTGTGTTGCCTGCTTCCTAAGACACTGGGTCTAGGAACACAAGAGGCAGTGTGGAAGTTTACACGTAGATTAAGTTGTCATGTTCAGAGTATTTAGAGATGTGAAAGCCCAGAGAAACAAAAACAACGAGAAAAAAAAAAATGGGTGAAAACAGAGACCAAGAGTTTTCCCTTTATTATGCTTTTCTACAACCTGAAGGAGAAAACAAATCTGCACTAGAAAAAAAAAAAAAAAAAAATCATTGCCCTAGTTCTCAGGAGTTTGGCCTCTGGGCCCAGCAAGATGCCAAGAGACACAGGACAGAGGGAGGACGGCAGGAAGCCCGGGGCCTTTGTCCCTCATGTGCCCTGGCGCTGTTTTGGGCACTTCTGACTTGGCCCTAGACAGAGGGGCCCCTGATCAGAGGACTCCTAGGGAGAAGGAGGCGTGGAGCATGCCCTGGGGTGCGATGGCCTGGTGGGGGTGTGGAGGAGCTCATTCCCTGCACCCCCCGCTGCCTCACTCCAGCCCTCATGTACGCCAGCATCTTTGGCAACGTGTCTGCCATCATCCAGCGTCTGTACTCCGGCACTGCCCGCTACCACACGCAGATGCTGCGAGTCAAGGAGTTCATCCGCTTCCACCAGATCCCCAACCCGCTGCGGCAGCGCCTGGAAGAGTACTTCCAGCACGCCTGGTCCTACACCAACGGCATTGACATGAACGCGGTGAGAGCCCGCCGCCCTGCCTCGGGTGGGGCAGGCGATCCAGCTCCAGTCCCAGCTCTGGCTAAGTGTCCCAGGGGAGGCCAAGGGCCCGCGGGCACAGGGCGTCCCCAGACCCCTCCCCACCCCGTTCCCCCAGCCCCAAGCCCAGCTGCACTACCCTGGACGCGGCCGCCCCCCTCGCAGGTGCTGAAGGGCTTCCCTGAGTGCCTGCAGGCCGACATCTGCCTGCACCTGCACCGCGCGCTGCTGCAGCACTGCCCAGCCTTCCGCGGCGCCAGCAAGGGCTGCCTGCGCGCGCTGGCGGTCAAGTTCAAGACCACGCACGCACCGCCTGGGGACACGCTGGTGCACCTCGGCGATGTGCTCTCCACGCTCTACTTCATCTCCCGAGGTTCCATCGAGATCTTGCGTGACGACGTGGTCGTGGCCATCCTAGGTGGGTCAGGCAGGAAGGGCCAGACCGGTAGGGTGGGTGTAGTGGAACTAGCCATGTCCTGCCTGGACTACTCCATTCCTAATGATGATGGTGGCACCTTTTACCGGCCTGCCATGTAAGCATGAGCAACAGAGAGCTTTACGCCCAGCTCACCGGATCCTTAAAACAAACCCCTACCATAGGTTCCATTTTCCTGATAGGGGAGTAGAGGCTCAGAGAGGTCATATTGGCAAGTGGCCAAACAGGGATTCAAGGGCTACGCGTCTAACTCCGAAGTCCAGGAAGGCTCTTACCTTCTTCCACTTTTGGGGAGCTCAGTGTGAGAGGGCAAAGGTTTGGCTTGGGTGGAGGGAGGACCCCAAGCTCATTCACTGCAGCTACAGGGACAGCTGGACACTTTCTAGGAATGAGATGAGCATTGGACAGGGGACAGATTTGGGGCCCACACGGCCTCTGCCACTTACCAACCATGTGACCTTGGGCAGGTTACTTCAGCTCTCTGAGATGATTCTCATCTTCCTTGCCTTCTCCCTGATGTTAGCCCACCCCAAGACCCTGATCAGGATGTCAGCCTCTCCCTCCTTTGGTCTCTGTGGCTGGGCTCTCCTCCAACCCCACTGGACAGCACCCCCCCCCCTCCCCGCCCAGTTCCTCTGTTTAGTCCTCTCCCTTTGGCCTGCCCTCGACTAGTGTTCACCAAGTGTGGGCTCTGCTTTCTTTTCTTCACCCTCCACCCTCTCCTGAACTACCTCCTTGCTCCCATGCTCTCAGCCTCATATATGCCACAGGCCCCCCAGAGCTCTGTTCTGACCCCAATCTCTCCTTAGAACAGAATATTCCATTCCTTCCTGGGTAAAGCCACCCTATATTCCATAGACCAAACAACATGTCTCAGTCTGAAATCATTATCTTTCCCCAGAATCTGCTCCTTCAGAATCTCCATCACTGTTGAACCACCCATTGCTGGGGCTAGAGACCTGGGAGTCAACCAAGGGAGCACTCTTCTCCTTTCCTGCCTCACCTCCACCATGCAGGCAGCCACAGACTCCTGTTTGTTCCCCTCATTAATACCTCTGTGTCCTACACCTGTCTCCCACCCTACACCTGTCTCCTTGTCCCTGCCTGGCTCCATCCCTCACCATGTCCTTCCTTTTCCTGTGTCCCTGAATCTGGACTACACCCATAGCTCATCTTCGATCTTCTGCCAGTGACCTGAAATTCACATCTGCACATACTCCTCCTCTGCTCAAAATCTTCCCATGGCTCCCCATGACTCCTAAGACCCATGTAAACCCCTGATGACAGCATGCATAGTCCTCCCCAGTCTGGCCACCCTAAATCCTGCCACCCTCCCCCGGTACTTCACGCTCCAGCCATACAAACTACTTCTAGTTCTCTATCGCCGTCCCTGTCACACCTCCCTGCCTTTGCACGTGCTGCCACTCTGCCTGGAACACCTGCCTGGAAGACGCCAGTCATCCTTCAAGGCTGGGCTCAAGACAGGGGTTCCTCTGTGAGACCTTCCCTCACTTCCAGCCTACCTTAGAAGTTTCATCCACATGAGAAGGACAATAATTCTATTTAATAATTAAGAAGCCAGTCCATTTTAAGTTTCAGTTAGAGACCTGAAATCCTCTTATTTTGTCCTGAGTGGAAATGAACATTAGATCATAATCCTTCATCTACTGGATAACCATCATTTTATAATGTTGCCCAGATTTTGTGCTTATGGGTTTCATATGTGACTCTGGTGAGTCCCTTCCCTCTCTGGGCCTCAGTCCCCCTCCTCTGTGAATGACCTTTGATCCTGTTCTCGTGGGCAACAGGTCTTGGTTTCTATCCATCATTGTCCATGCAAACCATTAGCGCTTCTGGTTGGTATCGCCAGGCTGAGGGGCTGGACTTTCCTGTGGGGGAGTGGACGTCAAAGCAATCATGGTCCCTGGTACCCCGGCCCTAGGCTCTCTGCCAGCCAGCTCTGACCACACAGCTGTTTCTTCTGCTCTGATGGCCTTCCTGCTGGGGCCCAGCCAGCCTCATCGGCACAACCCAGCCCCCACTTCACTTCCTCTGTATGTCCCTCCTCCTTGCCCCTACCACTCCTGGTAGCCCCTCCCTCCTCCTCAGCCCCTTACTTCTTGGTTCTCCCTGTTCTAAGTCTCTATAGATCATCTGTAAACTAATTGGTTGCTTATGTGCCTGCCTTGTAGGGATTCGGGGCTCCTTGTGGGTGGGACAGCATCTTATTCATGCCCATTCACTGTGGCCACCACAGTGGCCCTGACACCAGGAGGGCCCAATATCTTTGCCACATGCCCCAAGTATCACCAGCCTATGTCTACCCTGGGACATCCGTCTGTCCCAATGCGTTGTATCAATCTGCCTGGTGCCTCTTGCTATTTGAGGCATTTTCTCAAGCATCACGTCTGTGCCTCTGGACAGTCCAGTGGGGCAAGACAGATACAGTTATACTTATTTTAGAGATAAGAACACTGGGGTCCAGAAAGGGGAAGTGACTTTCTCAGGCGTGCTCTGCCAGGGCCATGCTGGTTATGTGGTCCCACAGTAGGGAGTGGGAACACAAAGAGACAGAGGCCTCAGGCCTTGCCCTGGGGGAGCTGGGTGCCCCTGGCCCTGGGTTCCCTGCCCTCTTGCAGTACCACCAGGCTGAGGAGAGAGGAAAAGTTTGAGGAGGGACCTTTAGTGTCTCTTCCTGCCCACTGTCTCCTGGAATTGGGGAGCAGGGGGGTGGATAGGGGCAGTGCCACAAACCATGGAAAATAGGAGGGGGGCTCTGACAGAGGGTGGTCCTAGGAGGCCAGAAGATTGAGGCAAGGGACCCACATGTTGGGAGGGTATGTGGCCTCTGCAGAGCTCAGAGAACAAAGGAAGGGCAGCTTTTGCATCCAACTCCCACCCCCTGACCCCCGGCCAGCACATCCAACCTTGTCCCTAGAGCTTGATCCCTGAGCACCAAGCCAAAGCCTGGCAGGATCCCTGAGGTTGGGGGTGGGGTGGTGTGGGGAGGAGTTCACGGCCAAGGGGCCCTCAGGGAGGCTCTTCAGAAGAGAGCTTGGAGCCAGACTCTGGAGAGACCCCCTGCCCCTCTGGCTGGCAGGAAAGAACGACATCTTTGGGGAGCCCATTAGCCTTCATGCCCGGCCTGGCAAGTCCAGTGCAGATGTGCGGGCCCTGACCTACTGTGACCTGCACAAGATCCAGCGGGCAGACCTGCTGGAGGTGCTGGACATGTACCCTGCGTTTGCAGACAGCTTCTGGAGTAAGCTGGAAGTCACCTTCAACCTGCGGGACGTGAGTCTGGGCTGGGTGGGCCAGGGTGGGTAGGGGTCCTCGTCCAGCTGGTAATGGGGAGTGGAGGCTGCTGAGCACTTGGCCTGCCTGGCCGGAGGGGACCCATCTGACCACCTCCCTTCCGTTCAACCCCATCCTGCGTCCTTCACCACAATTTCTTCTGTGCCTGCCACGGCCAACATAATGCTAAGTATGATGATAGCTACCAATTATCAAGCACCAACCCCATGCTAAGCACTGGGCTTCTTGTACATGATCTCTTTTAGTCTTCACCTTGCACTTAGTGTTATTTTCCCCACTTTCCAGATGAGAAAACTAAGGGTCAGAGAGGATGACAAATTGACCAAAGCCATACCACCACATAGTCAATGGCAGAGCCAAAATGTAGACCCAAGTTTGTGCGACTCCACAACCCAGGCACCCCATGGCACCAAGCTGGAAGAAGGGGTGTCTGCCATCCCTAGGTCCCAGGCATGTAAACAAGTGGTAGAGCCTCTCCTCCTAAGCTTATCACTCAGTGGAGAAGATTATAACAACTCAGAGAAAATAAAGAGTTGCGTAGTTCAATAACCAAGGAAGTCACGAGGGTGTGTGGGGAGACCAAATGTCTGTGGAGCTCAGGGTTACCAAGGAGTGGGACAGCCGGTAAACTGGAGTGCCCGGAAGTGACTGTATGGAGGAGGGGGTTTGGAGTCAGCTAGTGGGAAGGAGGGGGCTGTTGTGCCTGGCGGGGGCAACAGTGGCGGAGGCCCCCTGGAGCTGCGCCTCCCACCCCCAGCCTCAGGAGGAGGGGCTCTGCTGGCTCAGGCCCCATGCACAGCATCTGGAGGATGATGCCGAGGCAGGTTTTCTTGCCATGGACAGCCTTCCTCACCCTGTCCCTTTTGCTAGTCTCCCCTCCCCCAGCCTCTCTTCTTCCCACCTGATCTGGTCTAGGGGACATCTTGTAAGGATGCTGCCTTGGGGGCCCTAGCCACTCGGAGCCATCAGGTGGCCCGAGTGCTCAGTGGCCGGACACCGGGCAAGAGGGATGTGGTCTCCATGGCCTGGGACATCTGTTGCCCCTGGGCATCCCACCCCTAAGTCTCATGGTGCCAAGAGGGTGGTCTGCCAAGCGTGCTGTTGAGGGTACCTCCTGGATGGATTGGGGATTCCAGACCCAGTCTCCTTGGAGGGAACTCCCCAGTAGCCCAAGCTGAGGACAGCAGCACCAGGGCATTCAGGAAAGGGAGGACTGCAAGAACACCTCCTCTGTATGCCCCCACCCCCAAATCTTGCTGCTCAAGGCGGCCTCTTCCAAGACTCTGTAGGGGCATCTGCTCATCTCCAAGCCTCTGTCTCCTGCCCACCCACGCAGGAGAGAACCTGTAGGAAGCTTCCTGGAGCCTCAGGGAGAACCCGGCCACCTGTCACCACTTTCTCACCTAGTTGTCGCAAGAGCCTCAGGAGGGGGTGCAGGGGAGAACAAAGAGGCCCTGTCCCAGTTTTGGTACCTGTTACTTGATGCTCTTGTTCCCCACAAGGCAGGCGGGGGTCTCCAGCCATCACCCCAACCAGCTCCAGGCAGCCAGGCCCACCAAGGCTTCTTCCTCAGTGACAACCAGTCAGGTGAGCAAAGCCGTCTGCCACCAGTGTCTGCCTCGCCCCAGCCTGAAGCCCCTGCCCAGCCTCCTTCCCCTTTTCACCTCCTTCCCAATTTGCCTCATCTTGGGAGAGGTCTCCCCAGCCCCTTGATGAGAGGAGAGGGGCTCCCTCTCTAGGCTCAGTGATAGAGGCCCTTGTCTCCTTCCTCCCCCTGGGTCCTCAGAGCCTGAATGGGGGCTGTCCCCCGGGGTGGATACAGGCCAGCCCAATGGGGTTTCACATAGAAGCTCCAGGGGACTCGCTGGACTGCAGCTCCTTGGACAGTGAGGCCAGGGCTAGAATGTACCCACCCAGCCAGCCCCTCCTCCCCCAAGCTGGGGTTCCAGCCCCCTTCCCAGGGCCACAGCCTTCTGGAACCTGGAAATCCGACCTCTGTGGGGACAGGACCTTGTATTCCAGGGCACTCAGGTAAAGAGATCCACTTCTCCTAACCTGTGTTCCCAGGACAGGTAGGGGAAGAAGATGGGCTCTGGTCAGGTCTGCGGAATCAGCTAGACGGAAGCTCACTCTTCCCTTTCCCTCCTGCAGCTGCAGCCCCTTCTCTGAGCATCTCAGATGCATCTGGCCTCTGGCCTGAGTTGCTGCATCAAATGCCCCCAAGGCCAAGGGACAGCCCCCCAAACCCTCAGGGAGACCCAGACTGCTGGCCTCGGGAGCTAGGCTCCAGGCTGGAGCAGCTTCAGGCCCAGATGAACAGGTGAGTGCCCTTTGGGACCAGGATGGGGGTGGCTGCAGAGAGCACAGCCAGCAGTGGGCTAGGCACGAGTGCCCCCTCTTGGTGGCTCAGGGACATCACACTGAGTGCCCTGCGGGTTTTAGAATGGCTAGCCCTCTTTAGTTGCAGGCCTCCCCATCCCTAAGTCACTAAGCCTGGTTCCTTGGATGGCTTGTCCTAGCAAACCGCAGAACAGGCAAGGAAGCCTTCTTGGAATAGGGGAATAACCTGGTACATAAACAAATTCCATAGTCCCTTGGAGAGGGCATGTGGCCTGCGGATGGCAGGACCGTGGTGGTAGAGTGAGGGCTTGGGCAGTATGGTCCTGAACTCCAAACCTGGCTCTGCAACTTACCAGCAAGAGTGTGGACAAGTTACTTAAGCACTCTGAGCCTCCATCTGCCTTTTCATGAAATGGGGATAGTCAAAATACCCATATCAAAGCTTCCTTATGAGGACAAAATGATGTGTGCACCATGCCTGGTCACTGTCATTATTGAAGTCAGGGACGTGCTAAGGGAAATTTCAGCAGGGCCTGTGGAGTGTACCAGGGAAATAGTTTCAGGTAGGTCCCAGGGTGCCGTTCCATCCAGCAGGAATGGCATGCAGGCTACAAAATCCAGAGCTGCTCTCGGGACCTGAACAGCTCTCCCTTGTCTTGACCCTGACCCTGACCCTGACCCTGACCCTGACTGTGGGGTTCTGTCTGGCAGGTTGGAGTCCCGCATGTCCTCAGACCTCAGCCGCATCCTACAGCTCCTTCAGCAGCCCCTGCCCCAGGGCCACACTGGCTACATTCTAGGAGCCCCTACCTCCAATGACTTGGCCTTGTTTCCTGTGGCCTCAACCACTCAGAGTCCGGGAACTAGGCTGCCCCAGGGTGGTCTGCCCCCTGCACAGGTGAGCAAGTGAAGGGATTCCCCAGGGCCTTTCCTGGAGACAACTACACGTCTTCTTCTCACTGTGACATCAGGCCCACGGCCTCTGTGCTCTGAGAGCAGCCATGGGTTCTGCTGTCCTCTTTTATGTTTTGAGTCACAGTCAAGGAGCCTGGACAGGTGGTGGAAAAGCCCAGATTGTGACTATAGACCCCACAGCTGGGGCAAGGGCAGTGGGACCCAGCTTCTGCCGGTTCCCATCCCTGAAGCTGGTGTCCTCCCCCTCTCTTGCCCTTCCCAGGTCCCAGGCTGTGGTGACTTGAACAAGTGTAGGCTGAAGCGAAAGAACTCCTCCTCCGGGGTGCCTCCCCTGGTCATGGCAACAGACAAAATTCTCACACTGTCCCTGGAACAGGAGCAGCCTGAGGGGCTTCTGTCACCCCTAGCCTCACCTCTGCATCCCCTGGAGGTACAGGGACTCATCTGTGGTCCCCGTTTTCCCTCCCTTCCTGAACGCCTTGGCCCCGTCCCTAAGCAGCTGGAGTTTCAGAGACATGGCTCAGATCCTGGGTTGGCCAGGAGTTAGAGCCACTGAACCCCAAGATAGAGATAATATGAGGGGATTGAAGGTGAAAGTTAAGGATTTAGGGGAGGCAGACAGCTGGCAAATTGGCCTCTGAAAACCATTCATTCTTCTAGTATAGCTACAAACTGCCAACCCAGGTGACCCACGATGGCATGGGTGAAGATGGTCAGGACCTTCCCAGACTCCTCCAGGGCCCTATTTAGACAGTATGCCTCGTGGAGGGTGGGGAGGCTCAGGGGTGGAGGTAGCTTACAGGACAGAGAGGTCGGTGAAAAAAGGAGAAGTTTCTGATCTGTGTGAGAAACTTACTCCTTATGGCTCAGAACTATACACCGCTTCACAGACCAGGACCCAAGGTTAGTGAGACCTCCTGCCAAGAGCCTGTAAACCGACTGGAGATGAAAGTGTCCTCTGTAGTGGACACATCAGAGCACAGAGTTCCAGCCCCCAGCCACTCTGCCCCTCATGGTTTTATGATGACCTTTGGGACTCCAGCGGGCAGTGGAATGTCTCACAGCTAATAAAGTCTGCACATTTCATGTTAGGCTGGGTGTGTTGCTTACCTGAGGGTCATCAGGTCCTTGACTGTGCTGTGACTCCAACAGCTGTGGTCTTCTCCAAGTCCCTCTCACAAGGATTTGTGTGTGGGGGACAGGAAAGTGCTCTGCTGGGTTCAGTAGCCCCAGGAGCATGGGGCTTTTTGCCAGGCTGGGGTAAAGGGAAACAGAGAGTCTCTGACTTGGTCACCATCAAGAACCACGACATGTCCATAGTGCTCCCTCTGTGCCAAGTCCCTGCCGACTGCTCTGCAGACATTACTTCATCGAAGCCTCACAACAACCCTGTGGGGTTGGTATTATTAGCCCCATTTTAGAGATGAGAAATCAGAAGCAGAGAGAGGCTAAGAAATTCACCCAAGCATGCGGGGGACTTCTGGGGTGCTAGTACTGTTTTTGCTTCCTGATCTAGGAGCTGTTTACATACGTGTATATCAGATTGTGAAAATAGGTGCATTTCTATGTGTAAGTTATACTCTGATTAAAAAGAAAAAAGAATCTTACCTAACAAAGGAAGCAATTTCTACCCAGATGGTCTGGCTTGAGAACTCTGCAGTTAACTACTCCAATGAGATGGGCTGTTGTCCAAAAAGTACCTGGCCACTGGCCTTCCGTCCTTTTTTGGTACTCCTTGAAAGAATTTTGAAAATGAATCCCTCGCCCACCACATTTTAAGTTAACATTTTAAGTATCTCATTGATAAGTTTATTTTTTTTTAACGTTTTTATTTATTTTTGAGACAGAGAGAGAGAGACAGAGCATGAATTGGGGAGGGGCAGAGAGAGAGGGAGACACAGAATCGGAAGCAGGCTCCAGGCTCTGAGCCATCAGCCCAGAGCCCGACGCGGGGCTTGAACTCGCGGACCGCGAGATCGTGACCTGAGCTGAAGTCCGACGCTTAACCAACCGAGCCACCCAGGCGCCCCTCTCATTGATAAGTTTAAATAGTTGCAAACATGTTATTTCCAGTGTATTGTGACTATTGATACTGTATAAATTGCTTTATTTATACCAATATATTTAGACACAAATAGCATAGTGATTTGAGAGCCAACGTCATTCATTTTATTTATTTTTTAAGAAATTTTTTAGTGTTTATTTTTGAAAGAGAGAGAGAGCAGGACAGGGGCAGAGAGAGGGAGACACAGAATCTGAAGCAGGCTTCAGGCTCTGAGCTGTCAGCACAGAGCCCTCCCTATGCGGGGCTAGAACTCAAGAACCACAAGATCATGACCTGAGCTGAAGTCAGACGCTTAATGGACTGAGCCACCTAGGTGCCCTGAGCCAACATCATTCATTTTAAAAACACAAGAATGAATGGGCGCCTGGGTGGCTCAATCTGTTGAGCGACTGACTTCAACTCAGATCCTATGATCTCACGGTTCACAAGTTCGAGCCCTGCCTGGGGCTCTGTGCTGAGGGCTCAGAGCCTGAAGCCTGCTTCAGATTGTGTCTCCCTCTCTCTGCCCCTCCCCTGTTCACACTCTGTCTGTCTCTCTCTCAAAATTAAACATTAAAAATAAATATTAAATAAACATTACAAAATAAATAAAAACACAAGAACCAGTTGCCTGGGTGGCTCAGTTGGTTGGGTGTCTGACTTCAGTTCAGGTGGTGATTTCATGGTTTGTGAGTTCAAGCGCCACATGGGGCTCACAGTTAGAAAGTTGGAGCCCCACATTGGACTCGTGGCTGTCAGTACAGAGCCCCTTTTGGATCCTCTGTCCCCTCTCTCTCTGCCCCTCCCTCAGCCACACTCTCTCTCAAAAATAAACATTAAAAAAAAACGCACAAGAATAAGCTCTTCTTTATTCTTTTTTCTCTTCTTATAATTCCATTCTATTCCCACAGTTTATGCTACATGTAATGTATTTCCAGATTTAAGACCTATTATTGATAACCTGATCATAACTGTTTGCAACAAATGCACACACACACACACACACACACACACACATATCTCAAAATTTTAAAACTACATTTTTGTAAACTTATCAAGACTTTAAGGGTTACACTTAGTACAGAGTTATTCAAAAGAACATAATTATATTTCAAATTTTTATAGAAACTAAAATTTTATTGGGAATGCATCTATAAAAGGGTATTTTCTTCTCATTAGCTCATGAGTGTGGATGAATATCACTTTTTATTAGAATAAGACAAAGTTTAGCAACACTTTTTTTTAAATGTTTATTTATTTATCTTGTGAGGGGGAGGGGCAGAGAAAGAGAGAGAGAATGAGAATCCCAAGTAGTCTCCTCGCTGCCAGCCGGGCGAGATCATAACCTGAGCCAAAATCGAGAGTCAGTTGCTTAACTGACTGAGCCACGCAGGTGCCCTGGGTCAGCAACACTTTTATACCTATTTTTCTTGACTTTTTCATAAACTTAAGCAGAGAAAACTTGTTCCAAGAAATAAGTAGATTGAACACTAAGGGGTTATACACAGCAGTCACTCAACTCTTTCGATTCTGAGTTGTCCAACAATCCACGATATTTAAAACGATATTTAATGGTATCATCTAACAATTCCATACAATTTTCCTTTCATTGTGTTGAAAGCAAAGCAATGGAAACCATTTAAATTACAAAGAGAGGTTACCTAGATTCAGGCCCTTCTCCATTTCAAACTAAGGACACATAGGTCTAGGGCTTGATTAGCTTTTCCCTTAGGCCTTGCTGCAGAGAAAGGATGGAATGAATGGGAACCGACAAAAACTTAGGGCCAAGCAAGTAGGGTGGCTGATTACTGAAAATCAACCCGAAAATCCCGAGCATTTATAGAATGGCCAGGAAAGCGCGGGAAGGCCCTTGGGGGACAGGGAGAACAACCCTCCGGTGTTCAAGGCTATGGGCACCAGGAGGAAATTAAGGTGATTCCCATTTGGCACGGGCTGAGCTGCCAGGCCGCAGGCACTCAGGTAAAGCAGAATTTACATTTTCTACTGGACGTGAGGCCTCTGGGAATGGCAGCTACAGAGAAGAAGTCAGAGGAGGTCACACAAGAGGTTTCACTCTCAAAGATTTGGCCTAGAACTTGGAGGCCTGCTGCTAAGCTGCTAGCCTGTACGCCACCCACGCCCCCATTCACCCGCACTGCGCCGTTATCTCTCTGACTGACATTTTTGTCAACCAGTCACCTTTAGAGCTGAGAAAGCGCCTGTCCCCCCCGATATTGGGCGGGGCAAGTCATTGGAATGACAGACATTTGCGCCAATAGTGAAGAGCTTCAGAAGCTACTGGTGCACTAGCCAATGAAGAGTAGGAACCACTGGAAAGGACGTATCAGGCAGCCAACGGCCGGCGCCACTACGGGGGTCGGGTGGCTTCCGTTCCGAGAGGGCGGGGCGGGGCTTCAAACGGAAGGTGGCTGTGGTCCGAGCCGAAGCAGGTTTGAAACTGGGGGTCGGGCCCGGCAGTCGTTGTCCGTCGCCGCGGCCCCGCTTCCGGGCTAGGCCGTCTCTGCCCGCCCCCGCCCCGCCTCCTTTCGGACCCCTCAGTCTCCGGCCCGGCTCCCGGTCTGACTCGCGCCCGGCCCGCAGCAGCTCGCTGTCGTCCCGGCCCGCACTGCGGCCCCGCCGCCGCCACCATGTCCCTGCACGGCAAACGGAAGGAGATCTACAAGTATGAAGCGCCTTGGACCGTCTACGCCATGAACTGGAGCGTGCGGCCCGACAAGCGCTTTCGCCTGGCGCTGGGCAGCTTCGTGGAGGAGTACAACAACAAGGTGGGCCGGGCAGGGGCTCGGAACCCAGCTGGCGGGGAGCGGGCCCCTGGAGCACTCTTTCCGGGCCGGAGCCCCGACCTCAGGACCCTCCTGCGGACTTGCCTTAGCGCCCCGGAGCGGTTCCTCTGTGTCTGGCCCTGTGCAGAAGCTTTCACGCTCGTTGTCTCATTTAATCCTGGCAGCATTCCTGTGTAGTCAGGAGCGTAATTACCCCCATTTTACTCATGGGGAAACTGAGGCACCGTGTTGTGAGTTGCTCGAGTCAGAAGCTAGCTGATTCGTGGGGGAAACGGCACTCAAACTCGACTTTACACCCAAAAGCTACGCCATTTATCACTCCAGTCTTCCCCCTTCCCGCCGCATTGCTTCAGTTGGGGGCGGACGGGGGAAGAGAGAGAGATGGCTGTGAAGAAAACTACTGGCGCATCAGTTGGTGGTCTCACACTCTTGGCTACGCTAAGTTTCTGTTAGGGCTGTTTACTGTGCAGGCTTCCCCGCCTCCTCCTCCCACCCCCAGGTACTATTCAGGGACCACCCCCACCACGCCACCCCGCCCGCCTCTTCTGCCAGGAGTGGGTCACTGCTATTGCTGCCTGATATCTGTCCTCTTCAAAAGGATCTCTTTTTGGAAATTTTGGCCCGTGACCGTGATCCTGTCACTGTTTTCTGAAAGGAGAAGGGTGACCTTTTCCTTATCTTTTCTTGGCTTTCATGCCC